ACGTCATTCAGACTCTCCTCCTCGTCCTATCAGGGGCAGGGGGAGGTGCAAGGGAAGACAATATGAGACCCTGACAGGTACAACATGCTGTCAGTCATTCAGACTCTCCTCCTCGTCCTATTAGGGGCAGGGGGAGGGGCAAGGGAAGACAATAGGAGACCCTGACAGGTACAACATGTCACTCACTCAGACTCTCCTTCCATTTCAATTCATGCTGGCCGAATCTGTGCTTGTAGGACTTTCAGCTTGGGGAATGTTTGCGACATTTTAGAGCATGGTTGTCAAACTCAATTCTTGGAAGACCGTGTGTCTGTGCCTGTAGGGTTTCACTCCTCCCTTGTACTTGATCCCTCGTACTTGTAATGAATTAGTTAGGAACTCCCCTCACCTGGTTGTCTGGGTCTTAACTGGACACAAGTTGAGAGGAGATAACAAACCAGCCGACACTGGGCCCTCCATGGAATGAGTTGGACTCCCCTGTTGTAGAGTTAACATCTCAAGTTTGTTTTGGCCCAATTCAATAAAAAGTGTGATTTTACACAGAAACCTCTCTGTTGATTGGCTGTCCCTCACAGTGGATGACCGTATCCGGGGCGACGATGCAGTGGGGGGCGGGGTCTGTCTCCACCACCTTGAACTCCACTGCCCGCATGCCCCCCCGCACAAGGAAGATGTCGCCTAGCAACACAACAACGATGACTGTTACTCAACAACTAACAACTAAACAACTACTTACAAATAATTAACTTCCAGTAGAATTACAGTGTTGTTTCAAGTTATTATCAGCTATAGGATTACAAAAGTCTTGTTACCAGTTATAGAATGTCAGAAATGTTAGAAAAAGTTATAACCACTTGATAGAATGTCAGAAGTTATATAATAAGTTATAAGTTATATAAACAATCAATAGACAACAGTTCTGAGTACCTTTGTGTACGGGCCAGTAGGGTTGGTCTACCTTTCTGTACAACAGTTCTGAGTACCTCTGTGTACGGGCCAGTAGGGTTGGTCTACCTTTCTGTACAACAGTTATGAGTACCTTTGTGTACGGGCCTGTAGGGTTGGTCTACCTTTCTGTACAACAGTTCTGAGTACCTCTGTGTACGGGCCAGTAGGGTTGGTCTACCTTTCTGTACAACAGTTCTGAGTACCTCTGTGTACGGGCCAGTAGGGTTGGTCTACCTTTCTGTACAACAGTTATGAGTACCTCTGTGTACGGGCCAGTAAGGTTGGTCTACCTTTCTGTACAACAGTTATGAGTACCTTTGTGTACGGGCCGATAGGCTTCCAAGAAGTAGGGTTTCAGGAAGACGTCGAACAGGTTTCCCGTTAACCCTTCGATGGTGTCGTCTATCGGCAGGACATGGATACGCACGCCGTACTTCACATCTGGGCACGCATGGACACTAGACACACATGCACGCATGCATGCATGCACACACACACACACACACACACACACACAGAATCTTAATTGAAAGTGCTTTTTAGCTCAGAAATAGGCTCAATTTGTGACTGACTAAAATGTAAATGTAATCCGGTTCAGAGTAATCAGACATTTTACATTTTAGTAATTTAGCAGACGCTCTTATCCAGAGTGGCTTACAGGAGACATCTGAGTTAAGTTCCTTGCTCAAGGGCACATCGACATTTGATGTGATTTCCGACAGATTTTTCACCTAGTCGGCTCGGGGATTCGGACCAGCGACCTGTCGGTTAATGGCCCATCGCTCTTAACTGCTAAGCTACCTACCTGAAGCCCAATAGAGTTAGCGTACAGGTTAAACTTGCACAATTATTTATTATCCTCTGACCAGGATGTCTGGAAAAACCTGGGTATTTTGGGAAACGTACCGGCATTGTATATCTCTAATCAGAAGCCTACCTGATGACATCACACAGGTAATTAGTACAGGAGCCTACCTGATGACATCACACAGGTGATCAGTACAGTACCCTACCTGATGACATCACCGAGGCGTACCCTCAGGTTGTTGCGTGTGACACGGTTCATGCGGACACGCTCGTCTGGACAGGTGTCGTCCGTCAACACGATACACACCGTCTCACGGCGCTTCTTCCCCCGCAGGACCACTGTGTCCCCACGGAACAACTGCAGCTCCTCTGTCTTCGCCTGGGAGAGACAGGAGGTACAGTGTCTTCAGAAAGAATTCATATCCAGGCTCTGTCGTAGCCGGCCGTGACCGGGAGACCCATAGGGCAACGCACAATATGACTAAAATGCAAAATGTAAAAATGTAAATACCCCTTGACTTATTCCACATTTTGTTGTGTTACAGCCTGAACTCAAAATGGATTAAATAGCTTCTTTTTTTGTAACCCATTTACACACAATACCCCATTATGACAAAGTGAAAACATTTTTTAGAAATGTTTGCAAATGTATTGAAAACTAAATACAGAAATATCTCATTTACATAAGTATTAACACCGCTGAGTCAATACTTTGTAGAAGCACCTTTGGCAGTGATTACAGCTGTGAATCTTTCGGGGTAAGTCTCTTTTCAAAATTGGTTGTTGATCGTTGCTAGACAATTATTTTCCGTTCTTGCCATAGATTTTCAAGTAGATTTAAGTCAAAACTGTAACTCGGCCACTCAGGAACATTCACTGTCTTCTTGGTAAGCAACTCCAGCGTAGATTTGGCCTTGTGTTTTAGGTTATTGTCCTGCTGAAAGGTGAATTAATCTCCCAGTGTCTGGTGGAAAGCAGACTGAACCAGGTTTTCCTCTAGGATTTTGCCTGTGCTTAGCTCCATTCTGTTTCTTTTTTATCCTAAACAATTCCCCAGTCTTTAATGATGACAAGCATACCTATAACATGATGCAGCCACCACTATGCTTGAAAATATGGAGAGTGGTACTCAGTTATGTGTTTTATTGGATTTGCCCCAAACATAACACTTTGTATTCAGGACAGTATTACTTTAGTGCCTTGTTGCAAACAGAATGCATGTTTTGGAATGTGTTTATTCTGTACAGGCTTCCTTCTTTTCACTCTGTCAATTAGGTTAGTATTGTGGAGTAACTAAAATGTTGTTGATCCATCCTCAGTTTTCTCCTATCACAGCCATTAAACTCTGTAACTGTTTGAAAGTCCCCATTGGCCTCATGGTGAAATCCCTTACCGGTTTCCTTCCTCTGCGGCAACTGAGTTAAGAAGGACGCCGGTATGTTTGTAGTGACTGGGTGTATTGATACACCATCCAAAGCGTAATTTATAACTTCACCATGTTGAAAGGGATATTAAATGTCTGCATTTTTTTTATTTTTACCCATCTACCAATAGGTGCCCTTCTTTGCGAGGCATTGGAAAACCTCCCTGGTCTTTGTGGTTGAATCTGTGTTTGAAATTCACTGCTCGACTGAGGGACCTTACAGATAATTGTATGTGTGGGGTACAGAGATGAGGCAGTCATTCAAAAATCATGTTAAACACTATTATTGCACACAGAGTGAGCCCATGCAACTTACTACGTGACTTGTTAAGCAAACACACACACATACACACCTCACACACCTGAGACAGAGAACACACACACACACACCTGTGAGAGGCTGACAATGCTGTTGTCTTCATTGTGGGCTTCGTCCACCACCAGTCTGTTGGGTCTGTGTTTCTGCTTCAGGATAGCAGTGGAGAAATCCTCCCCCTTAGGACTGGCAACACAGATACATTTAGACATACACACAGAGTCACACACACTCACACACACACAGTCACACACACACACAGAGTCAGAGTCACACACACACAGTCACACACACACACACAGTCAAACACACACACACACACACAGAATCACACACACACAGTCTCTCACACACACACACTTGTCCCATATAGCTCCTGTTTCTCCATGTGACGATGATCTGAATTTAGCCCTGTCTACAGCTCTGTTTACAAAGAGTAGAGGACAGACCTCTCCTGGCTATATCTCACCCCTTATTGCTTCATGGATATAATAAGGCAAGTGCAGAATGGGAACTTGGGACATATTCATTAGTGCACAACTTAGCAAAACATTTTGCAATGGAAAACAAATATGAGTGTTTCTTATTGGACAAGTTCAGGTAGTCCCAGTCTGTTTTCTTCCGTTTGACGCCTAATGAACGTTACCCTGGTGATTTTAGTTAAGCTTGTTATAACACTGTTTTAGTACTCACTCTGTCCCTCCAGAGGCAGGCATGGCTGGGTATGGAGAGTTCCTGTGGAACAGAACCCGCTCCTAGGTCCTGTATGGGTCAGTGTACCCTGGTCTCTCCCTGGTTCTGGGGTTGGATGTCTGGGTCTAGTCCTGGGTCTGGATGTTGGGTTTGGGTCGGAGTCCTGGGACTATTTCAAGAGTCCTGGGTCCTAGGTGTTAGATGTTGGGTCCTGGATTCTGGGTCTAGTCCTGGGTCTTTAGTTCTGGCCTCTCCTGTATGTCTCTGAAGTAGAGCTCAGTAGTTTGTTCTTCTCTCTCTGCAGACGGTGTTCTCTATGGCTGGGGGTCAGGTCTGCCTAGGGAAAGTCCCTCCCCCTTCCTTCCACATACTCTGGAGAGTGTCCCAGTGCAGAACAGATATCATGTGATATGCGCCCACCCTCCTCTCCTCCCGGCCAGACACTCCCCCTGTTACTCCCTAACACCACACACTCACACACACAAACCAAAACCCTCACAACTCCATACCCCTCTAACATACATGAATACACAACACAATAAAAAAATTGTAATGGACAGTTTCATATCATGTACTGATATTTGTAATGGAGTTTCGTACCACATACTGATATTTGTAATGGACAGTTTCATACCATGTACTGATATTTGTAAAGGACAGTTTCATACCACGTACCGATATTTGTAATGAACAGTTTCATACCACGTACTGATTTTTGTAATGGACAGTTTCATACCATGTACTGATATTTGTATTGGACAGATTCAGATGTGCGACCGGCAGCAGAGTCAAGACAGTCACACACAACGGTACAGCTGTAGCTAAATGGAATATTTTGCTTTAGACTTTTATTCCAAAAGCATCTCATTGTTTACAATAAAAAACATGAAACGAGTAGATAGGGGATTTGACTGTACAGACAGAACAGTACTCCCAGAATGGTGTGGAGACCGGCTAGGACAGTCAGACATAGTAACAGACAGAACAGAGACCTGCTAGGACAGTCAGACATAGTAACAGCTGGCATAGGGTGAGATGAGAGAGGTGCTCATCCAATGAAAGCCCACAAGTGCCAAAATCTTCCAATGAGAGCCCAGAACTGCAAAACTCATCCAATCACAACACAGCTGTGAAACACAGAGGAGGGACTTACAAGGTCTCCACGTTTTCAGCAGACAAACACAGTTCTGTGGAAAATGCTGGTGGTGAGGGATTGATCAATTGATTAGTTTGATAGATGTAATATCCCGTGTTTAAATGCATTACATTCACTTCAATGGGTTTGACATTCATTTCAATGTGTATTTAAATGTTTTTTTTAGTTTTTTTTACATATACACTGAGTGTACAAAACATTAGGAACACTTTTCATGACGTAGACTGACCAGGTGAATCAAGGTGTAAGCTATGATCCCTTATTGATGTCACTTGTTAAATCCACTTCAATCAGTGTAGATGAAGGGGAGGAGACAGGTTAAAAAATGATTTTTAAGCCTTGAGACAATTGAGACATGGATTGTGTGTGTGCTGTTCAGAGGGTGAATGGGCAAGACAAAAGTGCCTTTAAAACGGGGTATGGTAGGTGCCAGGCACACCGGTTTGAGTGTGTCAAGAACTGCAACGCTGCTGGATTTGTCACGCTCAACTGTTTCCTGGGTGTATCAAGAATGGTCCACCACCCAAAGGACAATCAGCCAACTTGACACAACAGTGGGAAGCATTGGAGTCAACATGGGCCAGCATCCCTGTGGAACACTTTCTACACCTTGTAGAGTCCATGCCCCAACGAATTGAGGCTGTTTTGTCCCCAGTTCGCTGGCGTCTTAGTCATCACATTTCTCCTATTATTTTTTCAAGCAGTCCTGTTCTGAATAGGTTAGGATAGGTAAAGCGAGGGTAGGAGCTGAGCAGGGGTGGAGGTGTGGATGTGTCTGGGATGGGGAGGCCTCAAGCTCAGGGGACAAGGGGTTTTGGTTATTTGGAGCGGCTTCACTTTTGTATAAAATGTATCCTTTACATTTCACACAAAAATCACAAACAAAAAACCTGTCCTCTTCTGGTCCCATGTCATTCTTGCTCTCTCTCTCCCTCTATCCATCCATCCATCCATCCTTCTTAGTGGTCCACTGTTTGTTCTGAATAACCCATAGACAGTGTCTGTCACAAAACCACAACATAGTACCTGCTAAACACAACAACAACAACAACAACAACGTCAACAGTTTAGTCCGGAGGTTACAAAGCGTTCCAATGTCATCATCATCACAAGCCTCTAACTCCGACAGAGAGGTTGCATAATGGTTTGAATCAATGTTGTTTTCTGTCGGACCAAAGGGTGTTGACAAGCACGTTGAACACTGTCTTCCCTTGTCTGTGAGGTTACGCAGGTGATGCTCACTGTCGGCACTCCTGAACACTGCCCTGCATCCTAGCAGGAGACCCAAATGACTCAGTCTCTGTCCCAAATGCACCCTATTCCCTAGTGCACTACTTTTGACCAGGGAAGTGCACTGAGCCCTATAGGCCCTGGTCAAAAGTAGTGCACTATAAAGGGAACAGGGTGCTATTTGGGACACAGCCTGATGTTGTCCTTAAACAATCAAAAGGAACAATCAAAGAAAAAAATTAAAATACCAGTTTTGTAGTTGTCTTTAGACACTGATCTAAGATCAGTTTTGCGTGTCCAACCCCAATGAATAAGGATATGATATGGGGAGGATAAACTGATCCTAGATTTGTGATCTGAGTGAGGAAGGTCCCTTCAGCCAGGTGGACACAAATGGCCACCATATTCCCTAACCATTCCATTCCCTTTAAATCCATGAGGCGGAGTGTACGAGTGCACACTTTGAGAGAAGTGGAATGTAGCCAATGTTTCACTGACAGCCATTGATCAGGTGGTTGATTGATTGTTCAGGAGTCTAAGCTGCGGCCGATGTCCTTCAAAGGTTCAAGGGTCAAAGCAGAACTGAACCTCAAATAAACACATACCAGTCCAAAGCCTGTTAAACACATTCAATAGCAACAGGGGAACGTCTTTTCTCTCCTTCTCTTGTCTCTTCTCTCCTTCTCTTTCCCTTTTTCTTTATTTCTTCTTAGTCTCTGTTTGGTGGTCTGTCCATCAAAACATCATCAGGTATAAATTCCAAGGATTCTTCTCTCTCTCCCTCTGTTCTCTCCCCAAGAGTCGAGTCCAGGAGAGGGGGATGTGAGAGGAGAGCTGGATGAAAGAGGAGAGGGGAGTTGGGGCCTGGAGAGGGTTGGTCAGTTTAGAGTTCAGGGGTCAGGGTCTGAGTTTGGGGAGTTGGAATGTTTGTTCGTTAAAGCTGAAAGAGGAGGAGTGTGTGTGTTTGTGTCTCCAGGTAAAGCCATCAGTCGTCCTCTTCAAAGTGTGTTCTCTGCAGAACCTTCACATGGCGCTCATAGATCTTCAGGGCGGGGCCTAGCCTGATTGACAGGCCTGTAAGCACATCATTACGCTGCATCAGGAGGAGGGACTTCCCATCTATCTCCTGATTGGGTGGGAAGGAAGAGAGAGAGAGAGAGAGAGAGAGAGAGAGATAGAGAGAGAAAGAGAGAGCGATATATTTAGTTTAAAAGTTATAATATACTAGGTTCACAGAGTAGTTACATAGTAAGTAGTTCTAGATAAGACACATAGTAGTTCCCCAATACTGTAACTACACAATAACTACAGCTATGTTGCACTGCTAAAGGGTTGTCATGTGTGATAGCTGTTTCGCTGATGCTCTCTGGTGATCTGAAGGCTAAGGTCTGTTCTGGAAACCCTGCTGTCTGTCTCATCTCACCTGAGTCCTGAAGGCTAAGGTCTGGAAACCCTGCTGTCTGTCTCATCTCACCTGAGTCCTGAAGGATAAGGCCTGTTCTGGAAACCCTGCTGTCTGTCTCATCTCACCTGAGTCCTGAAGGATAAGGCCTGTTCTGGAAACCCTGCTGTCTGTCTCATCTCACCTGAGTCCTGAAGGATAAGGCCTGTTCTGGAAACCCTGATGTCTGTCTCATCTCACTTGAGTCCTGAAGGATAAGGCCTATTCTGGAAACCCTGCTGTCTGTCTCATCTCACCTGAGTCCTGAAGGATAAGGCCTGTTCTGGAAACCCTGCTGTCTGTCTCATCTCACCTGAGTCCTGAAGGATAAGGCCTGTTCTGGAAACCCTGCTGTCTGTCTCATCTCACCTGAGTCCTGAAGGATAAGGCCTGTTCTGGAAACCCTGATGTCTGTCTCATCTCACTTGAGTCCTGAAGGATAAGGCCTATTCTGGAAACCCTGCTGTCTTTCTCATCTCACCTGAGTCCTGAAGGATAAGGCCTGTTCTGGAAACCCTGATGTCTGTCTCATCTCACTTGAGTCCTGAAGGATAAGGCCTATTCTGGAAACCCTGCTGTCTGTCTCATCTCACCTGAGTCCTGAAGGATAAGGCCTGTTCTGGAAACCCTGCTGTCTGTCTCATCTCACCTGAGTCCTGAAGGATAAGGCCTGTTCTGGAAACCCTGCTGTCTGTCTCATCTCACCTGAGTCCTGAAGGATAAGGCCTGTTCTGGAAACCCTGATGTCTGTCTCATCTCACTTGAGTCCTGAAGGATAAGGCCTATTCTGGAAACCCTGCTGTCTGTCTCATCTCACCTGAGTCCTGAAGGATAAGGCCTGTTCTGGAAACCCTGCTGACTGTCTCATCTCACCTGAGTCCTGAAGGCTAAGGCCTGTTCTGGAAACCCTGATGTCTGTCTCATCTCACCTGAGTCCTGAAGGATAAGGCCTGTTCTGGAAACCCTGCTGTCTGTCTCATCTCACCTGAGTCCTGAAGGATAAGTTTGGAAACCCTGCTGTCTGTCTCATCTCACTGGAAGGATAAGGCCTGTTCTGGAAACCCTGATGTCTGTCTCATCTCACCTGAGTCCTGAAGGATAAGGCCTATTCTGGAAACCCTGCTGTCTGTCTCATCTCACCTGAGTCCTGAAGGATAAGGCCTGTTCTGGAAACCCTGCTGTCTGTCTCATCTCACCTGAGTCCTGAAGGATAAGGCCTGTTCTGGAAACCCTGCTGTCTGTCTCATCTCACCTGAGTCCTGAAGGATAAGGGCCTGTTCTGGAAACCCTGATGTCTGTCTCATCTCACTGAGGCTCCTTGAAGGATAAGGCCTATTCTGGAAACCCTGCTGTCTGTCTCATCTCACCTGAGTCCTGAAGGCTAAGGCCTGTTCTGGAAACCCTGCTGACGTGAAATAACTGACCACGTCAGACACTGTCCAGTTCACTGGGTTTAGCCTGCCCAGCTCAGACTTCACAAACCTAGAAAGAGAGAGAGAGAGGGGGGAGGGGGGAGAAAGAGGGGGAGGGGGAGAGAGAGAAGGAGATAGAGAGGATGGGGGTAGAGAGAGAGAGGGGGGGAGGGGGTAGAAAGAAGGGGAGGGGGAGAGAGAGAAGGAGATAGAGAGGATGGGGGTAGAGAGAGAGAGAGAGAGGGGGGAGGGGGTAGAAAGAGGGGGAGGGGGAGAGAGAGAAGGAGATAGAGAGGATGGGGGTAGAGAGAGAGTAAGAGAGGGGGATGGGGAAATATTTTAAGTGTTTGCTTAGAGTCAGTTTACTACTTGTAACTGTCATTTAGTTACAAAATGACTAGAATATACTTTCGTTTCACACACACTTCTTCATCTCTTGCCTCCCTCCGTCGCTTCCTTCCATACACTCATCTGCTCCTCCCTCAAGCTCCCTCATTTACTCCTCTCTCATTCATGTGAAATATATTTACTCTCCTTCACACTCTCTCTCTCATACTCACACTCCTCCATTCATCCCTCTCTCCTCTGCCAGACCAGAGTCTCTAGGTGAGGCGGTTGGGGTGAGGAGACAGGAGGACACGCCCACCTCTGTCTTACAGGCTGAACCTGCTGGCACAGAGGAGAGGGGTTAGCACTGCACTACACGCGCGCACACACACACACACTCCCACGCACAGGCGTTGAAAAGCAGAACTCACAGTTATGGTTGTGGACAGAGGAAGTGTGGCTCATTCTCTCTGACTGTACCACATTCTGATCCTGAGAGAGAGAGAGAGAGAGAGAGAGAGAGAGAGAGAGAGAGAGAGAGAGAGGAGAGAGAGAGAGAGAGGAGAGAGAGAGAGAGAGAGAGTAACTATTTGCACATTGTTACAACACCGTATATAGACATAATATGACATTTGAAATGTCTTTATTCTTTTGGAACTTTTGTGAGTGTAATGTTTACTGTTCATTTTTTATTATTTATTTCACTTTTGTTTATTATCTATTTCACTTGCTTTGGTCATGTAAACATATGTTTCCCATGCATATAAAGCCCTTAAATTGAAATTGAATTGAGAGAGAGATAGAGAGAGAGAGATGAATTTCCTGGGGGAAAATTACTCAATATGAAAAAGAGAAACCAAAAGCAAGAAACAGACAAACAGAGACATATAAAAAGAGAGATGTGAAGAGGAAGCCTATACCTGTGTGTCTGTGTGTATCTGGTCTGCAGAGACAGAGAGAGAGAGATGTGAAGGGGAAGCCTATACCTGTGTGTCTGTGTGTATCTGGTCTGCAGAGACAGAGAGAGAGATGTGAAGGGGAAGCCTATACCTGTGTGTCTGTGTGTATCTGGTCTGCAGAGACAGAGAGAGAGAGATGTGAAGGGGAAGCCTATACCTGTGTGTCTGTGTGTATCTGGTCTGCAGAGACAGAGAGAGATGTGAAGGGGAAGCCTATACCTGTGTGTCTGTGTGTATCTGGTCTGCAGAGACAGTATTGGTTGTGTGTTCAGGTTGATTGTCCTCCTGCTTCACCCCCGCCTGTCCCGCAGAACCTCCAGTGATGTCATCACCATTCCCCGGTTCCGTTTCCATGGGAACCGGGGCAGGGCAAGTCACCCCCTTAGAACCCTCCTCACCCCCTGAGGTTTGGGTGTCACTCTGTCCCCCATCCTCAGCATCCCCTGTTCCCTTCTCCTCTTCATCCTCCTCCTCCTCCTCCTCTCCACTCTCTGTCTCCATTGGCTCCTCCTCTTTCACCTCCTAGGGAGAGAGAGAGAGAGAGAGAGAGAGAGAGAGAGAGAGAGAGAGAGAGAGAGAGAGAGAGAGAGAGAGAGAGAGAGAGGAGAGAGAGAGAGAGGGGGGGGGTTCAGAGAGAGGGGGGGTTCAGAGAGAGAGAGAGAGAGAGGGGGGGGGTTCAGAGAGAGAGGGGGGTTCAGAGAGAGAGAGAAAGAGCATTCAGTTGCAGGTCTGCATACTGTAAATCACCAGGTTTTACAGTTACATCATAGTATGAATTAGCAGAGTTAGCAGAGTAAGAAAGGAATATGTCAAATACAGTTTGAGACATGTCTTTATTTTCAGGAAACAGGCTATATAACTTGGTAGCCAACAGTCACTCATTCGTTTATTCATAGTGGCGAACTAAGCTGCATCATACTTTGGCGTGCGCCAGTTTGTTGCTCACTCCCTCCCTACATTCTTGCGACCTCTTTTGTCCACTGTTTCGTTATTGACAGGCAGCGCTGCTCGAGCCAAGCGCAGACGGTGCGTGCCTTTGTAATGGCCCAGGCAGCAACCGGCTGCACCGACAGAGCTAGACCCTCTCCCCCGCCACAACAGTCCCAGGTTCGGCTTAAAAACACGCACTGCCCTCTCGGTTTTAGAATTTTAATGTAACCTATCATGAGAGAATCAGTGCGTCTTGCTTGGTGACTGGGTGTGCTTATGACTACAGTTACATCACCGAGAGAGAGAGAGCGAGAGGGAGCATGCATTTGTGCTGTTTAAAAAAAGGTAGCAGCTTAGAAAGGGCGTAATGAGGCACGAACATGAGAGATAGAGGCGGGGATAGAGGGTTAGAGAGAGAGTAAAGAGAGAGAAGCACGGAACTAAGAAGATTATAATGGAGAAAAAAACAAGTGCCTGTGAGGTGAATAAAGCCTTGGTGCAGACAGACTTTCCGCCATGGAAAGTATCCCGTGACCAAACTATTGCACCGAATTAGCCTCGTAACGCCCCGTCCGTCCGTCCTTATAACTTACAGCCAGCTAGACACCGTCTATGCTATAGGGACCGTAGCCTATAGCCGAACTTTCACCGCGCCAAATACAGAGAAACCGCTACAGCATATTGTGGTCGCTCGTTTTAGGTCGCCCTCTCTCTTGGCGTGCTCCAGTGTGTGCGTGTTTATGGAACAAGAGAAGCGAACGGACGAGAGAGCGCTGTTGAGCAGCTGAAAGCCCGCACCTTTTGTGCTGCCTGGCTGGCAGTGGAGCCCTATAGGAAACAGTGAGCAGGCAGCAAGACAGACAGTTGAGTGTCGAGGACAAAAACCAGGGTGTCTGTTCTCCCGGCGCACTGTTCACGTTACCATTATCTACGATTCACACAAAACACACCAGACCAGAAACGTCATTTTAAACCCACGATTCATTTAGGTCAAGGGATAGATTTGCCTTCAGAATAGTTTTACCAGTGATTGCGCTTAGTTAGGCTGAAAGAGAGAAGAAGAATGGAGGGAAAATACAGAGGGAAAAGAGAAAGAGACGTCTGTCTGCGTTGTGTTTTGATATCATGATCATTAATTCATAAGCAGACAGGGTGTAGTGAGCGTATTGTGTCTCTCTCTCGGTGTGCGTAGGCTATAGGACGTGTTGGAAATATTAAGTTACCTTTTTCCCAATGTGCTTATCCTGCAGTGCGCTCTTTAGCAGTCTGTTAGCGGGGCCGTGGGGCTTCGCTGGGACTGGCGCTGCCTCCACTCCCCTCACCGGAAGAGTGATGTTCCCACACCGGGTCCTCCGCAGCCGACCTCTCGCCACCTCTCTCTCCAGAACCACCTTGACTCTGTTGCGGGTCAGCTTACCCTCAGATGAGAGGCCGTCTTGGTTGGTCAGGTAACCCAGGATCTCCTTCAGTCCCAGCGGCTTGTGGCCCCCGCGGGTCTCCCCTCTTAACGCGGAGGCTCGGTTCTGCTCGGCTAGTCTGCGGACGGAGGCGATCAGTCTGTCGCCCAGATCCGAGCTGGTTTGCCCGCTGCCCCCCACCCCCGGGTTCCCCTCACCTCGGCCGGCCCGGAGTTTGGGTTTGACAGGTGGGGATGCTGGCTGAAGCTGTTTCGGCCGCAGGAGATGGCTGTTGCTGCTGGAACTAGAACTGGCGCTCCCCTGGCAAATTGTATTTTCCGTTTCAGCAGCAACACCAACGCTGCTACTGCTGCCCTCCTGCCCAGTCTCCACTCCCCCTCCACCCCAGACCCCCTTTGCTTTGCTCGGAGCGCCGCTCCCATCGTGGCCCGGTTTTGTGTCGTGGTTGCCGGCCAAAGGGCTGCTGCTGCTACCCCCATCCTGCCCCCCTCCTCCTCTTTCTCCTAATCTCTTGTCTTTTGACGCACTTGCTTTCCCACTGCAGCCTCTCCCGGCAGCACAGCCCATTTCGCCACAACCTGGGCAGCAGCCAGGGCCGTTTCCGCTATTCGGTGGAAAAAGCTTTTGTTTTTTCTCGGAGGTGATACCCGGAGTTTCTGGCCGGGGGTCAGGGCATTCGCTCGGCTCGGAGACAGAGTCATCCTCTCGGTCCTGGCTCTCCACCTCCTCTAGGTCGGTAAAGCTGTGCGCGCTGTCCCCGTTGTTGTTCAAACTGGCGTGTTTGGCTTGCTCTCCCTCCGCCTCGCTCCCACCACCGCTACCGCCGCCGCTACTCGGCGTGAAGTCACTCTTCTTTCGACTCTTTCTCTGCACCTTCGCCGCATTCCTGTAGGATATGGAGCCCTTATAGCTAACTTTGAGCACTGTTTGCTCTTGGATCAGTTTCTCCAGTTCCTCCCTGGTTCTGTCTGGATCCGAGCCGTGTCTTCTCCGGACCATACGACATATTCTCTCAAGGTCCGGTCGGGCTTTCCGGGAGCGCAGAGAGTCGATTGTCTCGAGGATCCAGTCCCGGTACTTGGGTTCGGACATGGTTTGTTGTTTTCCCGGCGGTTGAGTTTGGGTTTGGCCGAGTGCGTCTTTTCTCTCTTGTTGTTTCTGAAGTGACGCTGTTAGACGCTCTCCTATATGGACCCAGTGCGAGCAGAGAGCGAGCCCGGCAGAGCGGAGAATGAAGAACGGAAGCCTCGATGTGCGCACGCGTTGGCCACATTGTGCGCTTAAGGTGGACTGACGAAGATGGCGTCCCCTTCAGTTCACTCACAGCAGACATACGTGGACGGTAGTTTATTTAAGGTGGCATTTTTTCAGTTTTTTTTGCGCATCTCAAGCACAGCGCTCTTTGTTCACATTCCCGCGGCTTTTGGGAAATGTAAACACGCTTTTATTGGTTGTAATACATATACAGATTCGGAAATGGTCTTATTTCGAATTTATGCATTTCTCCAGATGAACACGTCTTAGGTGGGTCTCTCCAGAGTCCAGGCTAAAGAGCCAACAGTTGGCTGGATGACTGCATCGGGAGACTGATGCATTTTCTCACCTCTAGGCTAAACTGTCTTACAGGAAATGCGTCTCATAGGCTTAAACAGAGTCTGTTCGTCTCTAATAAAATATAAAAATATGGATTGAATAGGTATACAGGTGTGTGTCACAGTGTGTGTGTTTGTGTAGGTCTATGAGTGTGTGTCAGTCCCCAACAGTTTTAAAGTGAGTTCAGTGGTTTTCAAACCTCTCCCCAGGGTCCCCCTGCCAGTCCACACATTTGATCTATTCTACAGCTAATCATCCAGCCCTTGACTAGGTGAATCAGGTGAGCTAGTTCAGGGCTACAACAAAGTGGTGAAAGATCTGGGGGTCCTCAACGAGAGGTTTGGAGACCACTGGGCTATATCACACACACACACACACACACACACACACACACACACACACACACACACACACACACACACACACACACACACACACACACACACAAAACAACAATCCCTTGTGTTGGTCATTTTAACAAGTAAAACTTTATTGGACTGATACTCAAGTTGCAAAATATGACACTTTGTGTTTTTATTGTGTTGTTTTTCCCATGTGGTCGTATTAGATGGTGTCTTTAAACACATCCCTTTGCAGTGCTGAGGGTCATATAGGGGTTGCTAAAGTCCGTAACTTTCCCCAAATTCCCTGTTTTTTTCAGATATCCTGGTTGAAGGTGTCCCGGATCTCCTGCTTATTCCCTCAAATTTCCAGGAATCTTCCAACCAGGATTGCTGGTAAACCAGGGAAGTTAGAATTGCGCAAACCCCAGTCATACGTTATAAAGACTATAGGCCTTGTTTATTTCCCTAGAAAGTGCAACAGTATGTATATAGTATGTATACACCAGCATTGTGCCTGTCCACGCTGAGAGGAGGATGACCTATAAATACATTGAGGAGACGTGATGGAGGGAATAAACAGCTGTCCACGGTTACGTCCCAAATGGCACACCATTCCCTACTTAGTGCACTACTTTTGACCAGAGAGCCCTATGGTCCCTGGTCAAAAGTAGTGCACTAGATAGGGAATAGGGTGCCATTTGGGACGTGGCTTATGATATCAGGCAAAGGTACACAACATTAAAGAGTAGAAGAGAATATGGAATTGTATTCGAAGGAGAAGAGTGTTAAGACAATGTAATAATAATAATAATAATAATAATAATAAGATGGTCTTTTCAATCCTGGACAACTGAGTTAGAGAATGTTATTACACCTTTCTAATCGTTATGCGTAATACAAGACATCAAATAGTTCTGATGTCTGTAACATGAGAATGAGTATACTTCTAGGCCGGTTTTGAAAACAAGCAAAGGACTGCAGGTCATTAAGAAGGCAGAACATTAACTGGTCCCATGAGGCTCAGTTGGTAGAGCATCATGGGACCAGAGGTTCAATTTCTGCTGGGGACACCCAGACAACAGAACGCCTGACCGTAAGTTGCTTTGGATAAAAGCATCTGCTAAGTGGCATATTATTATTACTCTGAACGGACCTAGTGTGAAGACCGAAGTGTACAGTTGAGTGTCTGTATTAACACAAAGACAGGAAGAAAACACCAGACTGGAAACAATAACATCAAGACCTTCTGTAGCTTCCCCGAGCTTGGTCCACCAGGGGGGTGAGGGGACACACACCAGGGGGGAGGTGAGGGCAGAGTATTGTGGTTTCGTCCCAAATGGCACCCTATTCCCTATATAGTGCACTACTTTAGACCAGAGCACCCAAAGGGGTTTAGTAAAAAGTAGTGCACTATATAGGGAATAGGGTGCCATTTGGAACGCACCCCAGTATGCGTGCAGCAATATGCTTGCCTAGTTGTTACAGAGACAGGTCCCTGTCCCATTATAGTACTTAGGAGACAGTTGTTACAGAGACTTCTCTCCCTCTCCCCTCGTTCCCTCTCTTCTTCTCTCCCTCTCGTAGCTGGTGCTTGTGATTCAACAGGAGACAGTACTCCAGTTTACCTTTCCTATCTCTCTCCTTAGCCTCCCTCCTTCCCCCCCTCTCCTTCCTTCCCTCTCTCTCTTCCTCCTTCCAATCCCTCTCTCTCTGGTTGGGTCTAGAACTCAGCAAACTCCTTGGCACATTTTTCACTGATGGAGACTCTGATCTCCTCCTCTTCGTACTCATCAAAGTTGCTGGTGTCACCTGGGCCTTTGAACTTAGGGACGAAGGGGGCCTCCACCTACACACACACAGGAAGAGAAAAAACTTAACATTTGAAAAATTGATCAATCAATCATTGCATTTACTAAACCAGATTCCCATATAATTATTATATTCAAACATATCAATAAATGTTTTACATGACATTCATTTAGCAGACGCTCTTATCCAGAGCGACATACAGGAGAAATTAGAGTTAAGTGCCTTGCTCAAGGGGGATTTCTGGAAAACCTAGGAACTTTGGGAAAGTTACCTGGAATTGTACTGTACCCTACATGTCGGTTAAGCCCCAACCCTCACCTTTCTCTGGTATACGGCGATCCAATCGGTGGTGGCGAACCACTTGTGTCCCTTGATGTCGTTGACGCCGTTCTTCAGGTTGCCATAGCGCTTGGTCAGGTCCACCTGTAGTAGATTCCTCAATAGATCCTTCAGGTCAGAGCTGAAGTGGGAGGGGAAACGCACCTGGGGAGGAGAGGGGGAGGAGTGGTGAGGAGGGGGAATAGAGGAGGAGGGGAAGGGGGAGTGGTAGTGTGGGGAAGGAGAGGAGGGAGAGGGGGAGTGGGAGGAGGAGAGAGGGGAGGAGATGTGGGAGAGGAGGGAGAGGGGGGAAGAGAGGAGGGGTGGAGGAGAGGGGGAGGAGATGGGGGAGAGGAGGGAGAGTGGGGAGGAGTGGAGGGGTGGAGGAGTGGGGGGAGGAGAGGGGGAGGAGATGGTGGGGGGGGGAGAGGGAAAGAGAGATGTTAGGAGGAAGAGGTAAACCAGCTCTTCTCATCTCAGTGCTGATCTAAAATGACTAGGCAGGCCAACATATATATAGTGTAGGGCAGGTAGAAGTCCCAAATGGCATCCTATGTCCTATATAGTGCACTCCATTTGACCAGGGCCCACAGGGATGAATCCTAGGAGTGTCAGAACACTGAATCACTGAGTCCAAACAGAGACTACCCAGGGATGCAAAACTCGTCAGTTTCAGGCAATATTCACCGCTTTGTCCTCGCCCAAGGGGGGGGGGGGGGGTCTGAGGAAAAGTGAGCAGACAAAGAGTTTATCACCCATTGAGCTATAAAAGATGAAAGAGAGAGGTGTGAACAGATCTTCTCCCTGTGTGACACTACCTTCTCTGGCGGCCGTGTCATCACGCACTCCACGCAACACACTTTGTTCCTGACCGGGACATTTGGAATGCAACTCGAGGTTTGAGATAATGCTGTGGTTATAGTAGATAAGAAGCATATTATAGTTGCCTGTATGTTTCAATAGCGCTAATTGTTACACACAACGTTATTAATGTTAGCTAGCTATGATCTCAGCTCAGCAATGTCAATGGGCCCTGGTCCAGTGTTTATAAAGGGGACGGGTGCCACTAGCGACACATCCTAGTGAAACCCAGTCACTATGCTACTTTAGCAGCATTAGCTTTTTCCCTCTCTGAGTACAGCTCAGGGTAAACTATCCCAAACCCAGAGCCCTCTGGCTCGCTAACACACGTGACCGCCCTCCTTAACAACATACCAACCAGTTGTGCTATAGAAAAGGATCCTATTGGATAGCTCCATTGGCGACATTTCAAGCTAGCTGTGGAGTGAGCTTACGGCACGTACTTCTCTCCGTTACACTAGAACCAGCTCACCTTCCCAGAGACGATCTTTTCATAGATTTGTATGGGCTGGTCAGCAAAGAAGGGAGGATAACCAGCTGCCATCTCATAGACCAACACACCCAACGCCCACCAGTCTACTGCCTTGTTATATCCCTGGAGAGAGAGAGGGGGGAGGAGGAGGGGGAGAGGTAGGGGAGGAGGGGGGAGGGGAGGGAGGAGAGGAGGGAGGAGGGGAGGGGAGGGAAGGACGGAAATGAGTGGCGGAGCGGGGTCGGGGAGGTGGGAAAGGAAGGTGGGGAAGGGGATTTGATCAGTGAGGAATGGAGGGGGAGGTGGAGGGAGTGAGGTCTGGAGGACGGGGCGAAATGGTTATGGGGGGGGGGATTGGAGTACTGCTGAATGACGGGGCAGGGAGTCGGGAGTCGAAAGGTCGGGTAGTAGAAAAGGAAGGTCACGAGGGAGAGAGGGAGAGAGATTTAACATGTGAGAGTTACATTGAGGGTGAGTGAGGAGAGTAGAGAAGAGAGGGAAGTGAACGAGTTGTAGTAACATAATGCCTCAGGGACAGCAGCCTCCTCCATTTTGGTTCCATAAAAAGCAGTTGCACTGAAACCCATTAGTGCAAGCCAACTGGGCACCATGAGGCCACGAGAGAGAGACGAGGAGCAGGAGAGGTGACTCTGAGGGATCCAACACAGCGTCCAGGTGCAGACCTTGAGAGAGTT